GTTTAATAATATAATTCTTATAAATATAATAATTAATTATTTTGTTATAAGTAATGATTATCTTAATTATATTTTAGTTTTTTTATATTCAAAATAAGATGTCTATCCCGTATTGGATTGTATTTATTTATAGTTAGTTACGCAAATAAAAAAATAAAATTTTAATAAGTCGTACTTACGCACAATTAGCTTGTGATCTTGAATTTTAAGTAATATGTATCAATAAATAGTACTTTATGCATAAAAATAGTTTCTAAGAGTTTTTGTCAAATATTTTATAATATAGTACACATTAGTTGATAAAGATGAAAAAAAAATTAGAAATTATGTTAAAAGGTTAGATAATTTTAACGTTTTTTTAGTATCATTAAAATCTATACTATATTATAAAGCATTTGACAAAAATCTTAAAAATTATTTTTTATGGATTAAGTATTGTTTATTGATGTATGTTACTTCAAATTCATATTACAAGTAAATTGTGCCTAAATACAATTGATTAAAGCTTCATGTTTAAATTCGTGTAACTAACTACAAATAAAAATAATCAAATAGAAGATAAACATCTTATCTTAAATATAAAAATATAATATATAATTAGGATAATCATTGAGTTCTAGTAAAACACTTAATTATTATCTTTATAAAAAATTATATTATTAAACCAAAAATACAAAAACGATAAATTTTAAATTGTTAGTTTGATATTAATTTCAATATATACATTTCAAGTTTTTATGAAATCTTCATATTTATATTTTATTAAAAAATAAAAACATTGTCGTTTTTTAAAAACCACATAAAACCATATTACAACATCAATTGAGACAAAAGAAAAACAATACATTAAAATCGAGATGTATTTCACTGCATTTTACGAATACCCTTCTAGTAAATCATTAATAATATAATATATTAATTGATATAAATCAGATGGTAAGAAAGTAATGATATTATATATTCATTTTATTATTATTATTATTATTATTATTATTATTATTATTATTATTATATACGTGAGACCAGCATTTTTTGTCAGACCCTTGAGACAACATTCATAGCAAAACACTGTAAAGGTAACCTTCACAGTGTTTTTGCTGTGAAGGTTCGACTTTTTTTATCTTCACAACATTTTGCAATGAAATTTCAAGTGTAAAAAAGTGGTCTCACGGGTCTCATTAAAACAAAATGGTCTTACGTGAACTCAACCATATACAAAATTTATGTTAACTAAAATCTTAAATTACAGTATCTCCAACARATTTTCTAAACTACAAATTTTGATTTTTTTTTTATGGATTCACCAAAATTGAGAAATTAAGATAGAGTAGGTGAAATTCTTCAAATTTAAAAAATTCTRTGAAAATATTATATAGGAAAAAGAATTTATTTTATTATTCTTTATACCATTGAGAAATTTTAAAATTACATRTTTATAAGAAGATAGAAATAATATTTTATTAATTATTTTTTAATATTTTAAAAATATAATATTACAAAAAGAATGAATAAAAATTTTAAAATATGTTGTTCGGATAAAATAACGAGTAAACAACAAAATTGGTCCATGTGGTTTGTCCAAATTAATATTTTTTAGGGAAAAGTCTAAAAAAATCAATGGACTTTAGTGTTTAGAATGATTAAGTTTTTAGACAATTTTTTGAAACAAATAAATCTTTGGACATTTAAAACCTGTTACACAACTCATTGGACTTTTTAAAACCTGTTATATACATTCTTATGACATATAAAACCAATTAACGTAGTA